AATGATAAGGAAATTTTAATCGTATGCAAGTTGTTTATCAAATATTAATGAGGATAGAAATAATTATCGGAAATGAATTGAAGTGGTGACAAAAGGATGATTAATCTTTCAACGGAATATTAGAAGGACAAGATGTAGATAAAAAATTGTCTTATTTAAAAGGATGATTATTAATGATACCGAATTATTAGGACCTATGGCTTCCTCAACCCTCTGATCAACCTCCTGTTAATCATTGTTTATTCAATCATAGCTTCCTTACATCTAATTGTTAACTCTTTATTCATCTAACTCATTATTTTTCTATATATATTGTTAGACTTGTTATATTATTCATTTCTCTTGATAACGCTGCCTGTATGAGCATGTGAAACGTTGAGTAAATAAATACAGAAATAGTGTATCTATATCTTCTTTACCTATGCCTATTTCTATATATCTTATAAACAGTATATTACACACCATTATGGAAGTGAGACAGCGAGTTGAAAACTACACAATATAAATATGATAAATCGTGTGTTAACCTCATTTTTCTTCTTAGATGTAGAGACAGGGATGTCATCCCACAAGGGTTACAACTTCGGTCTCCTGTCAGCATTAAAAGTAATCAATGATGCCAGCAGATTACTTATCAAAGAACGTATCAGCCACTACCGACGTTCAAAATGCACCCTTCACAGGTTAGAAATTGAAATACAGGGCAAACTCAAAGAAGTGTTATCCCCACAAAATTATGATAACCATTTTTCCATAACCGGAAATGCCAATACTAGATTCATAGAAGAATCCAGATCGAAACAGAAGAATATTCACATTAGTGAATAGATCTACTACATCCGAAATGCAGTAAAAATGTCTTCGCATTAATCTGCATAATACTGGCAATCAACAAAAGTTAATACAACAATTTTCGACAAAATAGGAATTACACAGAAAAAAAAGATTGTTTATCGAAAGAGTGTGACGACAGTTTAACAAATAAAGCTCAAATACACAAGCAAATTGGAACAAATATCACATATATACAGTAAAAGAAAAGATTGTTTACCTGTATAATGTACGTCGAATTCCGTAATAAATCACTGTTTAAATTATTGTATGTTTCTCTCTTTATTAATTAGTATAGATACATGGTATATTTTGTTCGGAATGTTTTTAAGTCTGCCACACCCTGTTAAGTCCCTTGTCAGACATAATAAGTCCAACTTCGTAATTTTTATATTGTAATATTTGGGTGTATATTACACCAAGACGATGTAGTTGCAGTTGAGTATTACACCTTTAGTTTGTTTCAAACAGTTTTGAATATTAAAGAATTGACGGACCCATTAAAAGGGTTTACATTGATAATTCAGATTAAGATAACATTGAATTCTGATACCTCAATGTTTATACTAAAAAGATGATATTTTTCACTGAGAAGATTTATCAAACCACATTATTTGTCCGTCGATATGCAATATTATCGGCAACAGGATAGTAAAAACAAAATGAGATTTCTATACAAACATTCTATACAAAACAGAAAATTAGTGAGTAACGAGTTTGGTATAGCTTTGCGAAAAGTGTCGGTCCAGATCCAAACAGGCGCACCAGATCGTTATCTCTGATCCCACATGTTTGAAATAATAAAAAAAATAACCCGTGATATCTGTAGCTCAACCTGGACTGTGCTAAGTTAGTAGACAGTTGGCGTTGCCCATCGTAATCAGGAGCGGAAGAGTGGAGCGTATAATTTCCCATTAATTACATCATAACTGTGAAAAAATGTACATAAAATAATGCCTCTACCTACTGCAAAAACTGATGAAATAATGCGTCCATTTTTTTCAACTCCACACAGCGAACAATTGAACTTGATTGGTTAGTCACTTTCAATGGCGTACTTGAAAGACATTATGACAAAAAGATATCTTAATACATACGTACATCACCAAAGTTTCGCGCATACTTCGTACTCTGTCTCATCATTGCATTGGTGGTTTTAAAAAATCCATTTTTGTCCTTCACAGGCATACTGGCATTCCAAACAAAAACAAACTGAGAATCCTTATGCTGACGTAATTTCTAAATTAAAAATCTTCTTTTGTCTGACAAAGTAATCGGTACGATGTTCATGCACTTTGTCAAGGTATTAATAATATTGCTTATCATGTGTTTTCAAGTAATGTATAATGTATGTGATTTATATTATTACTGAAAAGCTATTTTGAAATATTTAGCACTCTAACATCATCGTTATCAGAAAAGGAGTCCGTTGTAGAAAATGTATGACATACTTTACATGTATCAGAATCGGCTTTACGCCGAAGATTTTAAGATTTCTAAATTCATATCAGATTTCTTTTCTCAGTTTGGTGCAAAATCTAAAAAGCTCGTGTTTCTCGATAGGAATTAATCTAAGCAAAAGCTAACCAGATTCAGAGTTTTGTAAGCTCTACTAGTGTGCATCTACTAAGGCAGCTTCTCGGGTCCAATCCTATACCTTCTTATTCTCTAACTATGCAGATATTTCCTTTAGTCATATTATGATATATAATATTTGCTTGCACCTTAGTGAAGTAAATTTTACAACTTCAAGGAAACATATTATTTCAAATAACTGAATAAAGATGATGAAATCATAAAATAATTTCAGCTTAGGTGTTCAAAGTTTGTTTATACGGCTTGATTCAGAATGCCAAGATCAAGCATTAATCTCGTCCGTCGGTATAAGCTATCGGTGAACGATGTAGTAGCTCCGTAACGCCGGAATGCGGCCATTGCGATGTTACGGCAACCGAAAATCATTATTATAATAATTATTACGATATCTGAATGCTGTTCTCGCTTATACTCGCTCTGAGCCAAGTTTCCGTCTCAGTAGCAGCGCAGCAAGAACGCCTTCCCGCAGTGACGGCGCATTAATCAGCGTGCGATTTCATAACTCGACTACGGAATAAACATGGATTAGAGACGTGTTCATTTAGAAGTAATAACAAACTACAAATTAGAAAAATCATTATCAAACATAAATACAAATGATTAGTACCTTTCAAGGCAGTTTTTAATTTCAATAAAAATCAATAGTGTTAATTCAAGGTAACATCGTGATGACCATTAACGGCGATACTTTCATGATTTACTAGTCTTACATGTCATGTTGCATATTATACAGAAGAAAAAAATTGCGCAATGTATATTGCACCTATAGAAAAAAAAATTAACACACGACAAATAATCGTAACGAACGAAATATGAGTTATTTTATTTTTTCTACTAACCGTTTCGCATGAAAAGAATTCGACACTGAAGACCTTCAAAACTCTTTTGTTTCTTACTGTTTATTCGTGATTTAAATGCCCATATGGCATTTTGTTGACAAAAAACGTGGTTACGTATTTTATTATACTGATAACTTTCACTGAATCAATTGATAATTGTACCTTTGTAATTTATACTCTATCCATCTATCAATTACCAATTTACTAATCGTCAGATGTTATATGTAGGTATAAATATTTTATGTGGATATAAACCTATACATTACTGTACTGTTCACTACCTAGTGTAGTCTCCAGTAAGGGTTACTTATCGAGCTACGTAAAGGATGATAACTAAAATAATCAATCAAGATTAAGTTCATATCAAATCATATTGAGAATCCAGGATTACCTTTACTCATTTTATTAATTCAAATGCTATTGTCTTGCATGACAAAAGCGATTAGTTGTTCGGATTGTCATGAAATCAAGGCCCCATGTGTTCCAGACCGCATCCTCTAAGGATGAACACAATAAAAGGCTGATACCGATGTAGCATTTCCTTCAACGCATAGTGACCATATTATAACCAGCAAAGAAAGATATAAGAGGAAGGTTAAAGTAAGGGAGATAACCATGCTTACCATAACCCGAACTTGCAATCAGGTTTGCTCAGAATTTATTTTATTTCTCGTTTGTGGATATTCATAATATACAAGATTGGTGTATTCGATGAATTCTGTTACCTACAGCCTATACGAAAAGAGATGTATCCTAGGATACCAGAATTCCATGATTAAATACTGGAACATAAGAACTTCATATTGATGAGTGGGGTGTTTGGTAGTCATCAGTCAATGGATATATATTAAGAGAAGTAACAATGTTTTCTTTTAAATTTCAGGTTAAGTACACCTGGAAGGCAGGTTTGTTCCACACCAGATATCCTATTATAGATTATATTTCTGAAATACATGTCGGCAGTAAGATGAGCTAACGTCAGATAGCTTTTGTATCAAGGTTGTTTACTAGGATCCAAAGGCAATTAAATAAGTAGAAGGAAGATAATGGAAGAAACAATATTGTGCTCAGATAACAAACTTGTATTGATAGTTTTAGATTAAACTTTTAGAATCAGCCATATTTAACACGACCTTCATTGCACTCCCGACTTCTTAAAACACAATTTTACTTAAAAGTTAAGAATATAGAGGCCGCGAGTAATGTGTTTTGGAAGATATACGCCATTATTTTTTTTAAGCACGGTAATTGCATTCAAAAGTTTGTTTACTTATCTTAGTACAATAAATAATCCATACAAACACTTCAGTTAAGCAAATTCTCGTCCAAAGTATGGCAAAATCCAGAGTTAAAGTTGTGAGCTGCTCCTTTTTGCAGTTAATAATCATATTGTGAAATGAAACTATACAGAAGTTTTTGTAAGTTTATTTTACAGAAATTTAAGTATATCGCCGTAGGTTATTGTTCAATTTGATTTTTTTTTAAAAAGTTTACTACTGCAGCTAAGTACGGCGATACATCACTAATTCAACAATTTGCACATATATAATGCCTATCCGCACATAACTGGGAATTCAATTCTTTTGAACACTTAAATTAGAAAATATTTCTCTGCATAGTATAATTTATGCTTTCCGAAATCTGAAAAGAACATTCAATCGAATAATATGGAACCTGCACCCTTATTGTTATTAACTATATTGATATAATTATGAAGTATAACAGAACAAAGTTTCATTTCAAGTGTCCCTTGCGTGTCAGTTCTTGTTCAAGAAGGAAATATGTTGTCGCAATAGCTGCAGAAAATAAAAATATGGACAAGGCTATACCAATTATATATAACACGGTTGCCCGCCTACCGTAACGTTTAGCAAGTTTTTCTGAAGCATAGTCAAATTCGTAGTCGGATCGTTGCATCCAGTATACAGCGGGGGAGCAGCACAGGAAACAAAAGAATAGAAAGCATGGGCAATGTAGGGCAGAGTGGAATTTTTGATTAATAGAATTATACGGATTGTCTAAAAGGAATCTTATTTTCGGTGACCTTTCTTCTAATTCTTCTTCTGGCTCTGTTACTTCAATTACTATTGGCACAGCAACATCCGGTTTTACATCTTTAATCTCAGCCACTGGAGATTCGATCTCCGCAGTTACTTGAATATCGCCCGGAACTATATCATCAGCTACCAAAGCACCAGGTTTTACGATAGATTCTATTCTCTCTCTGAAGGGAACACTTCCAAACGAAATAGCTTCAGTTCCTGCCAGCATTTCCGTCGTTTGTTGTGTTTTCCTGAGACTCCGGTATGAAAATCCACTAGACACAGATCCAACGTCAGACGTTGTTCTAGGTCGAATAGGTTGATGAATATTTTCCCATTCCTCCCCAATATCAACTGACAACTGTCTGATTCTTCTTTCGCCTCTAGAACTGTCTGACAATATTGATGATGTTCTACTGACACGAGAACTGTAGGGTGACCTCGGGTTCCAGGATGACCGTCTTGTTAGAGTGCTGTAGAAATTTATCGAGTCTGTCTCATCATCGCCAATGTAAAAGGCTCTATCTGTCGATTCGTCACCGACCGATCGTCTATGCAGGCGAAAGGAAAGCGCTTTCTGAGTATCGGAAAAAGGGTCACTTGGGATCTTCTCCAGTCGTTTATGGTACTCTGATGGAAGACCCATCTCCATCTTAAGAAATGCATTTTGTCGTTTATCTAAAATATATTGCTCTGGTTGACTGTAGGACCTGCTTCGATTATAATCAGATCTGTCATTTTCTGACTTCTCATTTTCAAGTGATATTTTTCTAAGCTTGGTTTTCCCGGAACCTCTTTTGGATGCTGATGCGACTTGTCGAAATTCATCTTCGTCATCGAAGTCAACTACTGAAGCAATACCTTTAATTGTGGAATCAGAAGAACCATCACTGTTAGTTGGTGTTCGTTTCAGGTCAGAAAAATCGGATGGAAAATTTGGAGTATCTGATTCATAACTTTCACTGGGTATTGGAGATAAACCACCTGGCCCGAGCTTGTGAGTCGTCCTGAAGTGATCGATAGTTAGTTGAGATAGATCATTTGATGGTTGGAATGGCGCAATATTAGTAGGGATCGGCGATAGTTGATTATTGTCTAAAGAACGATCCGAGGCAATGGAACTGTCTATATCGCTGTTTTCATAACCATTCTCGCTTAATGTCGAACTGCTCCTGTCCGACAAATCGTGTTCCGTTAACATTGGCCTTCCATAACCTCTATAATCAAATTCGTTAATTGTTGGTCTGTGTTTATCCTTATTCATATTGACATTCACGTTTACATAGACTTTGATATTTTCTTCCTTTGCTCCGGGTTCCTTCGTATAAGATAATTTAGAAGGAACAAGTGACAACCTGGGATCCTGAGAATCCAGTCTAACATGAATCGTACCAGGTTCATGACGTCTACTCGTTGAAGCATTATTAGTAAGCGCTGTTTGTCCTTGTGTAACGCGACCATATATATTGAATTCTTCTGTTGCATTTACTGTATCGCTGACTTTTTCTCTAGATGTTCTATGGTGTTTTGAAGGACTGGTTTCACCCATGGTCGACTGTTGTGCGCTAGATGGCTTAGTTAAACTCGGACTCCTTCTGCGTTTCTTTTTAAGATCTTTTGATTTCACCTTCAAATCCTTCTGTGGAATTTTGACCCGTAATGGTCTATTAAGATCTTTACTCACAGTCCTACTACTTGATGCAGTTGTTTTATCTGATTTTTGAATGGTATGTTTTTGTCTAACGTCAATATTTCTTACAAATTTGCCACTTCCTGGAATATCTTCAAAGGAATCTGACCTTTGATGCTTAGATTCCTCGCTCTTTAGAGGAGATGACATGCCTTTTGCTGAGTGATGTATATCGTCAATTCCAATCTCCACTAGCTCAACAGGTGGTGTACGACCCTTCCATGACGCTGTGGTTAAACTTAAATCCACTGTTTTCTCCTCGGGTAAAAATTCGTCAATTTCTTTCTCTGGATTTGGATCTTTCAACGAATCCGGACGATTGAAGTTGACGATATTACCACTCTTAAATCCTGGTGAATTTACTATGTTTGAACCGTGCTGACTGGACGACCAGATATCAAGTGTCAAAGATGATCGTTCCATGAGAGCATTCTCGTGCGACGACAGTCCTTCGTTAATGAACGCAAATATTTCATCTACAGTCTTGGCATGATCCTCCCGCTGTATCGTAGATATCTGTAGCTGTTCTGAATTGCTAGGAGCTTGAGAACCATTTGAGTCCCCGCCACCAACTGCATTTTGTGATAGATTCGTTAACATATATTGCAAGTCAGCATCTGTAGAATTCTGTTCATTATCCGTGTCAGAAGAATCATGATGGTTTCCTTGTGTGTTTAGTGAATGTCTTTCAGATGATGTAGTCGCTGTTCGGCGTTCGGCCATGTTTTAAATGGAACCTCTGAAAAAGAAAGAAAAATTAACATTTTTACATAAGTTTAATTTTTTTAACATAATTAATTAGCCCGCGTATTTGGTCCCAGATGAAATATTGAAATATTAACCTGTTCTTTTTTTTTTTTTTTTTTTTTTTAATATTACAGCCTTTTTCTTTTGAAATGTATTATCCCGGTAAAGGATAGCTCAATCGGTAGCGAATGTAGATTGAGGTAATGAAAATAACACATATGTGCCGAGGACTCGATTCTCACTTGTGCGATCACGGTGTCGACAGCCATACCCACACCCTCTACCTCGAAAAAAAATCTCACATTTAGTTGTTACAGATTTTAAAAATACATTAACATCTAGTCATATATTATAATGATTAATATTGTTTTAACAATGAAAGGGAGGATCATTTAGACCTGATTTTTTATATTTATTCTGACGTTATAACATTTATTTTTGTTTGACAATCGTGGTTTAAAATTAAAAAAACTGAATAGCCTAAGGGAATAATGTTATTCTGAAATAAATGATTTTCCCAAGGTAATAAAATTATTGAACGGATTTTTAACAGAGTATTCATTTTACATTAGAATTTTTCATAAACATATTCTTCAAAACAGAAAGCTCGAAGGGATTGTTTCCATCTTTGCCACAATTAAACGCTGGGGTATAATGAAGCAAATATAGTTAAATATTTTTACCAATGAGACAAAGTGATTCTCGCCTAGTTTTTTTTTTATCAAACGTTCACATATGAGAACGTTAATATTTATTGTACATATACGCATAGTTATTAAATTACTGGAAACACAGACCACGAGCCGATGGGTTTAGTAAGCGTATGCAAATAATAGTAATCGCAATAAATTTTTAGTGCGGTCTTAAATTCTTGGCTCCGAAACTGTTAGTATATTGTGAAAATTTGTTGTTCACATACAGACCAAACGTGCTTGCTTATACAACATTGATCTAGGTAAAAGAGATTACTTACTGTTGATCTAACTTTTGGTCAATGTCTTACCACTAAAGCAATTCTGCATGGTTGAATGACGTATCCATACTAAAACTGAAGTTGTTATGAAGTTGAAAGTGTTACAGTTAAACCTAAAACAATTAGTTGTCACGTGAGATAGGTGTGGATACCTAAATAGTAGATTTCCTCAGGTTATATGTCTGATATCATCATTTTTATTTCATTCAAATTCGACTAGCCCCATTATTTATGCGGAAGTCCAATGCCTCGGGAAGCTATGTGAATTTATTATTTTCACTGATGACTGTTCGATAAAAAAATATAATTGTCCTAAAGAATTGAATTTATCAAACGGAATGCAAATATTTTGTCAAAATTCCTAATTGTCATTCAAGGACGCTGATAAAAAGTGAATTAGTATTCAGCAAAGGGAAGGTATGGTACACACGGTAAAAATGCGAATACTAGATTTTGGTACACGATAAACTCAACCGCTTTCCGGCTTGTGGGAATTTTTTATGAAACTATGTAATTATAAAATGCACTTTTATGTGTCGGAATTCATGTATTGTATGTTCTATATGCCAATGGCAGAAAGGGTAGTTTTGGCATAACGACCACCAACTCGAATAATACATGAATGCAAATTGACGCTATGTCTGTGTACGGTAACCATGCAAATTCCCATATATTGTTCAATCACCGTGCTACTGTAAATCCACGATTTATTATGCATATAAGTTTTCTTCAGGTTGTGAAATTCGGTGTCTATTTTTTATCGTCGAATTTCAGAATAAAACATTTATTTTAAGGTAATTCAAATCATTCAAAGGTGACAAATTATTAACATAACTGTCTACATAAAGTTTATTGATATTCGAAATATCACATACACTAAGTTAAACCTTTTTTATTTAGCTGTAGTAAATAGTCCAATAATTACTCTCGTAGTTTTTAATGAATCCCTTTTTGTCTCCTGTACGATGTTTCCTTTGCTTCGATTTCTTTTTCTTTTTATGTGTGAGTCCATCATCAAAAGTAAAGACAGAAACCTGTAATCCGAATCTTTAGATATAGTTTTGAATATTTTGTTGTCGTTGTTGAAACAAACAGTTGCCATGTCATATACTAGTTGTCTCCCATTTCATTTACTTTCATAATCTTGCTATCAGCTTCAAATGAACTTGGCTTCAGAGAGTAATTTTAAAGAAAACCAATATCTGCACATTTCAAACTCTATGATAAGCTAAAGCAATGCAAACCGTTTGCAATCAGATACCGGAGTCTAGACTATAGAGGTTTCACCTCCCAACTGTATTGGTGAATTTTCTGCGGTACACTTTGCCCCCTATCTTAGTGCCGAATATATGTGGTAATTATTGAAATCGAATGCATATTATCTGAAAAATCGTTAATGAGAAATCTTGTAACTATTGTACATGTAGACGTGTTAATCATATAAATTGGAGTAGTTACAGGCACACTAAACCCTATACAACAAAATTCAAAAATACCATAGAACAATAGTAGTCATTATTTACCAGACCCATTACTATAACAAAATACACAATAGATTCAGTAGACTGTATAATCGGGATGAACTTCTAAGCATCTAAATAAGGATCATTGAATCGTAAGTGCCATAATAAAGACGGTTTAGATGTTTTTTCCGACAGAGGAAGGCATCAATTTTCCACGATAAGTAATAAATCTCGAACACGCTATTATTTATTAATGACGACGGCGACTTGACCTAAACTATAATTTCTATGCGTCTCCTTCCTTTTAAGTTTATTTCTCCTCAGAGGTGGACGGCATTCAAACAATTAGTTTCCCTGTACCCGTAGAAAATAGGTTTCAACTTGTTGCAACTGTGAAAATTAGAGCTAGTTTGTATCGAAGCTAACATTTTCTGTTCTGCAAATATTGTTCCAGTCAATTGATATTTACCTAATTTGGACAAAATGTTCTGGAATCACAGTTGTCGCATTGGAAAAGGAAATGGTACAGATATAAACAACTAGTGTTCCCGATACACATACTAAAGCCAGAGAAACCTCTTCGGAATACTTCTAAACCTAAGGCATTTGCTAGAAGCTAGCTATACATTGGTATCGACACAGAAATTTAGATGTTTATTCTAACGGGATTGGATACAGATAAGACATAATATATTAATATTATATACTTATTGTTCCAATAGTGGATTTAATTATTCCACTTGATATATAGGTGAATGAGAATTTTGTAATGAATTCCCACAGCTTGGCAGGTGATCTGGAAAAATTCCATCGACACCATCCTTAATGATATAATATCATTGCTACCCACACAGAGTAGAGTGTTAGCCAGTCGTGAATAAACAGAGACTTTACTCCAATAATATTGATTGTTCCTCACCTGTGTTACTCCCAAACTATGATTTATTTAATTACATTCTTTGATGTTAGAAAACGTCAGGTAATTTCCATGGTATGTTACAAAAACAAATGTCCTAAATGTCAAGAATTCCACGCTTTCGAATGGACGAGGTTATGAAAGATTGGTTAAATGATTTATTGAGAATAGTGTTCTGACCGAATTGGACTCTTATGTTGAGTTTACACAGGCGAAATTTAAATCTGCAACTTACTTAAACCCCTCAACCTATCTGTGATGTTCATTCACGGAAAATCTCTTCAATCTAGTTCAACCTCTGGCTGAAGGAGGTGGAAACGAATGGAAAATATGACAGAAATATTATCAAATTTTAAATTAATCACTTTAAACAAAATGATACTAAATAACAGCGATGCCTCGCTCGTCCGTCCGTCCACAATATCTTCTAAACACTCTAGAAGACACAATACTTGACGGATTTTGACGAAACCTGTTGTGAGTGTTTGTAATCACCCAAGAATGAACCCTACTGGAAATCAGAGAAATATTTAATATGAGTTATTGCCCTTTTTCTTGAAAACTCATCCAATTTTAAGTTCGCCACTTCAAAAGGCTCAATTCTTGATGGATTTTTATCAGAACTGAAGGTTGATTATTGGTGATTGTTACTATACTGCTAATATTTTTTTTATTCAAAATCAGCGCATATTACCTTGCCTGGCTAGCTGTTTTTAAATGCTGTCATGAACTTTCGCAAAATGATCATTTCTTGAATATAGAGAGATAATGTACGATGACATATGACACCTAATTTAATTTCTTTAAATCGGAAGAATATTTATATAAATCAACAACATTTATTTAAAATAAATATTTATACATAACAAACACGTTATAAAACCTCATGAATAAAGGCAATTGTCAAAATTAAACAAAGCTATAATTTTTTCCACAATAAACAACTCATCACCATTGTAAAGCAATTTACAGTTTAACTAACTGTAGTATAAACACTAATAAAGATCAGCAATTGCCAAAATACGAAATTAAATTATATAGTTTTTCTTTCTCCTTGGCATTAATTTATCACTAAATTACTTGCTCTATTTTCGGCTTTTTTATTATAAAATTAAACACAAAGGGTGCAATTATTCAGCTTCCGATTTCATTAAAAGACTAGTAAATCTGTTTCATCATGGAATTAAAGAGACTACAGTTGGAAAATCAGCGAGTATTGAAACATAAAACAAACTTCTGGTTTCCAAATGTCGCCCAGAAAATCGATACGCTAATACTAAATTTGTTTAAAAGACAAAAGTCAATTTCAAACGTCGCAGAGACGACCTTGATTTTGTAAAATATAACTTTGTTTTTCGAATTCATTTCTAATATTTTCTGTAGGTTCTGTTACTAGATTTTTAGACGGATTGGTCTAAATCGCAGAAGGGTATACTAAGACCTTTTCCAAAAGTAAATAAACAACTTGACCGCCATTTCCACTCTTCTCTAGATCAAGTTAAAACATTTTGGAATCATCCTTTTAATAAAGGTTAGATTTACTCTGCCAACTGTACTGACATGATAAAAAATCTAAAAATAACCAGCAAATATTTCAAAGTTTCTCGACCTGGTTTATTTGCTT